CACCCTGCCCCTGTCCTGCAAGGAGTGTGGGGTGCTTAGAAGCACTGTGCGCTCCTTGCAGGATGGGGGCAGGGTGGGAGGACACTTCACATGCTTGTCCTGGGGGCAGGGGAGGAGAGTGCATGAAGTCTCCTCCCACCCTGCAAGTGGCTCGGCACTTAGAGTCGGCCACCAGCTGCTGCTCACTCCCTTGCAGGGCGGAGGCAGACTTTGCATGCTCCCCCTTTCTCAGGCCCTGATTGACCTGGAGAGGGGCAACAGTGTGTGAAGTCTCCTCCCATCGCCAGGGGCACGAGCACTTAGATGGAACCACCAGCTGCTTAAAACAGCTGGCGGTTCTCTCTGGGGGGCGGGGCAAAGACTGCACATGCTCCCCCACCCACAGACCAATCAGGGTCTGTGGGTGGGGAAGCATGGAAGTGTCCTGCCCTCCCCCCTTCCACCTGAGGCCCCATCCCTTCTGGGGCAGCCTGGGGCCACTTCAAAAATTTCTGAAGTGGCCCCTGATAAAAAATTATTGCCCACTCCTGCTATAGAGACTCATGTACTAAGCTCCAGAGGTCCCAGGTTCTGTTCCACCTGTTGGTGCTACAACAGAAACAAGAGTGTTGCCTAATCCTCTGTGCCTAGTCCTGGATGCTTGTCTGGATGCAGTTGTCTTTGGTCCATGTGGATCGGGAAGAATTGTACCCTGCACCCCATCTCCAAGTTATAAGGGAGCACATGTCCTTACAATTATGCTGGAAGACCAAGGACCTGACATATATATCTAAATGTTTGTTTCATAGTGGCTTTTTCCAGTAATCAGTTTCCATGTCGGTCAGTCTTGCCTTGCTATTTAGGCTTTGGCAGCCCTAACATTCCTCCCTCGCCTACTTTGATTACCCTGTTTGCTGCCATCAGGTACTAAGTATTAGCACCATTAGCATTGTTTATCACTTGGGGTACGTCTACACTACATGCCTCTGTCGGCAGAGGCATGTAGATCAGACAGATCAGCAAAGGCAAATGAAGCCGCTATTTAAATGATCGCGGCTTCATTTACATTTACATGGCTGCCGCGCTGAGCCGACAAACAGCTAATCAGCTGTTTGTCGGCTCAGCGCGGCAGCCATGTAAATGTAAATGTAAATGTAAATGTAAATGTAAATGTAAATGTAAATGTAAATGTAAATGTAAATGTAAATGTAAATGTAAATGTAAATGTAAATGTAAATGTAAATGTAAATGTAAATGTAAATGTAAATGTAAATGTAAATGTAAATGTAAATGTAAATGTAAATGTAAATGTAAATGTAAATGTAAATGTAAATGTAAATGTAAATGTAAATGTAAATGTAAATGTAAATGTAAATGTAAATGTAAATGTAAATGTAAATGAAGCCGCGATCATTTAAATCGCGGCTTCATTTACCTTTGCTGAACAAACAAATCTACATGCCTCTGCCGACAGAGGCATGTAGTCTAGACACAGCCTAATTGAAGAGATTTGTTCCATTGAGTTCCTTGGAACCTATATTGTTGGTTTAATAAATATGTGAAGAGCCTGGAAAAATATTATTGCATAGTTAGGAGATCTGTGTTAGGCTATTTCAGTTCCTACAGTAAGTGAGGCCAAATCAAGTAAAACAACTGAAGACTCAATCATAGTTTGAAAATAGGAAAACTGAAAAACATGTTGCAACCATATAGAGGTAATACAGGATATCTGAGTACCTGATAGTGAAATTAAATATGCTTCACAGTTAATGCTAAGAGGCTCTGGGTCACTCAGTAGCTACACATTTGTAAAATAAAAAGCCATTTTCTCCTGCCTTATGTGACTTCAAGGAGTCTGTTTCTAATATATCTAAACATATAACAAGTTAACATTCAACAGTAGTAAAGATGTTTAGGACCACATGATACCAACAAACCTCATGCAATCAGATTCTACAGCGATGTTATAGAAGTAACAAATAGTCTAGCAGCACCTTAAAAACTAACAAAACATGTAGATGGTATGAGCTTTTGTGGGTACCGCCCACTTCTTCAGATGAAGTAGGCAGACATGCATTGGTGACCTAAAAAATATGGATTTGTGCATTTGAGCAATAAACAGAAGTACTAAGAACTAATGGAAATTTTCCACCAAAACTTTTTTTAAACAAGTGGGTCTATGACAAAACAAAATAGTTGTGCAGCGTCTACCTTCCTTGAAAATTTTCAATGTTTGCCCCAAAACGGCAGAACAAAAAGGAGCTGTCCAGGCCCAGAATTGTTGATATTTGTTTTTTCTACAAAAACAATAACTTTCCATTTTCCAGGCAGTTATATACTTAATCTAGGATCCACTGATATTGTATATGCTCTTCCTCCACTGGACTGAGAAACTTTATCATGTATTTATGACATAATTTATGTACAAATGCTTCAGAGGGGTTAGCCGAGTTAGTCTGTAACAGAAAAAACTTAAAAAGCAACGAATAGACTAGTAAGCACCTTAAAGACTAACAAAATATGTAGATAGTGCCATGAGTTTTCGTAGGTGCAATCCACTTCTTCAGATGATAATGTATGTAGATTGGTATGTGGCATGGTAGTGACTATACAAATGAGATGCCATGTTAGTATGTCATGTTAATTTATAGTAATCCTCGTGCGCAGTTTCTGACCATTCCTGGTGTGAACTATGTACGTCCAGAGCCAAGCTAATAAAAGTGCTGTGCCCTCCTTCTAACCATCCTGACTCCTGGGTGCTTATTAAACACTGCAGACATTAATTATACTCCCAATAAAATTAACTTTCCTTTAAGAATCACAAAGCTGTTGATCTTTGCTGTACTTTCTCTGGATTGTCACCAGACATATAATGTCATATGAGTTCAGTTTTTAATGGGGCCCACTGGGAATGTACAGTGCAGGCACTTGTTTAGAATCCTACATGAATTACATACCGGAATCAGAAGACTTTAAAGGGACATGACATTAAGAATGTCTGGGAATCTTGATGTCACTGTTGGCCAAAAAAGTGCTTAGAATGCTTCATCTATACCAGTCTCATGCTAGCCAAAGTATGTCTCAGGAAATTCTAAAGCTGGGCAAGAGTCTCAGAATTCAGAGTAGAAGGGGAATCATGAAAAATGTTGAGAAAGTAGCATCATAATGCCATTCAGAATTCTGCCTCTTTGATAGAATGCTCCAATACTTCTGTTTTCTAATAAGTAGTACAAAATCCCTCTGCTCTATAGTGCACCAGTCAGGCACCCCTATTTAAATTTCAGTGCATACGCGCTGTCAGTAGGTGTTCAACACTGCATCATAAAGGTGGGAATGGGACTCCATAGAGTTATAAATAGTACAGGAAACCAGCTTTATTTTTGGTTCTGCTGTTTTCCTCTTTGTCCCTCATTTCCAGTCTTGTTGATAGGGGAGGTCAAAGGAAACAGCTGCTCTGGGCCTTGGCAATACTAAAGGGCCTGAGGATCCCAGCCATTGACTGTGGCAGCACAGGCACTTGGAGCTTTGGGCCTTTAAATCGCTGCTGGAGCACTGCAGCTCTGGGTAGCACTGAGGGCTGCCTGGAGAGTGCACTGCTCTCTGAGCAGTGCTGAGGGTTGCCTAGCCCCAGCCCCAA